CAGTTTGACACGCGTATAGGATTGAACACAGTCCTGTGTCGTTTACGTCATTCGGCCTCTTATGATATTTAATAACCTTAAAATATTAGACAGTTTGTAGCCGAAACTTGTTAATTATAAAAACGTAAATATATATACGGAATATTATGTTGAAGATTTGTATTTTGCTACGAGCAGCGGTGGAAAAATTGATATCTCGCGAGACCGAAGGTCGAGCGAAATATCAATTTTCCTACATTGCGAGTAGAAAAATGCATAGGCTCTGAAAGCTACTACAACATAATTTTCCTTTTATTATATACCTTTTCGTTTGAATTATAAATGATTTTCATTATACTACACTTCTATAAGAAATTTCAGAAAATTAAATGTAGCTGTCAAGAAATAAATCTATGACCGACGGGTGAATACGTAGTTTTTGCAAAACCCGCCACGCCTTTTTTTATAATTTTGGACACAGCTAAGATCGGAACCAACGTCAAAAATAGTCCGGCACTTCCATATATGGTACCTTATTTGTCACTAACATAAAAAGGACTTTTCTATCCGTTGAAGCGTATTTGCGCTTCAAGTTCATCCTGTATTCTAGGGAGAAAATTTGTAGGTACAATCTATATTATTGGCATTTCTTATGTTTATATTTATATATGTATCTCTTGCAGTCCTATTCATAGTTACGAATTCTATGAACGAAAGTAGCATGCAGACGGTGCTGATATTGTGTGATAAAACTTTAAATATCATTGAAAATCATCCGAGTAACCGAGTACTCGATCGGAAAAATGACCGAGTACTCGAGTATTGATTTTGGTATTCGTTGCCATCCCTAATTAAAACAAACATAGACATCTTTCTGTCCCTCGACACAGTTATTTGTGCCTGTTGAGATAACTTTACTTGGTGATAAAACACCCGAATGTGCGGGATATTATCTGTATAAATATTTATTTAAGGATATAAACACTTATAAAGAGATATAAAATCTTCGCTATGATTAATTACTATTTCACTGACATTTACCAAATTATTTGTCCAACAATATGTCCCAAGGTTAGGGTCATTGATTGATTTATATTGAAGTATGTCGGCTCGTTTGTTCCGTGATTTATAGCCGATTTTATTATAATCAAACACCTGGAGAGGTCTGTCTAAGATGTGTTAGTCGTCAAACCAAGCGAGGATATAAGTTAAACAAACAATCATTTTTATAAACTTTATTTCTCACAGTTAAAATACATACAAGCAGTAAAAAATAAAAACATACTTGTTCTAAAAATTCATAAAACTCGGTCGAATCAATTGATCATGTTTTTGAAAGACATACCTTATTTTATCTGTCGTGCAAAAGAAAACACAAAAACGATATTGACGGGTTAATGGTCCGATATTTTTCAGAGTCATTTAAACCTTTTCAAGCTTTTCCCGAATTACGCTCATACATGTTTGCCTTTATCGTTTGAACCTTTGTCATCCGTTGCGAACCAGTAAACAGGTCGAAATAGCTAAGGCAACAATCACCGTGCGCGTTTCATTTTTTTTTTGTCGTTTTCTTTGAATTCCTTATCAGTTACAAATTGTTTAATTTCATCCCAGCAATTACGCTGAAGTAGTGCATGCATGCCACATAAATATGGACATTTGTTAAATGCAATATGGTAAAAATATAACAAAGAGGTAAAATTTGATATAAGAGTTAATATATTATGGGCATTGCTATATCTTCGTTAATAATTATCAAGATTTCACAATTCTGAACATATGTGAACAATATAAAGAAGGTTTACCATCCAGATTTAGAGTTTAAGTTTTTTTAACTACCTTATATTAACACTCATAGTACACTCAAATGTATAAACAAAACTGCTAATATCTCTTAGTTAAAACATTTTTTAGAAAAATAAGGCAGAACAAAAAATAACCTGACCAGACAAAATTAGTGCTTCCTTTACCTATACAATGTATTTATTAAATAGTTGACAGTAATTGTTACAGATTTCTGACGAAATAAATATTAAAATGAAATCTGGAAAATGTGAAATGTGAAAATACTTATTCAACAGCCGTAAATATAGCATTGAAAAATCTTGATTTGGAGCAGTGGCTGAATTTTAGAGTAAATTACTAGTATTAGAGGAATTGTGTTTCATTTTGTTTTAGTTTTAATGAAGCAAATTATGTCTATGCTAGGACTCATGCGTAAGCTCATGAGAATGAGATATCTGATGTCATTTTCCTATTGTACACTTGATAAACATGTAGAATTTTACTATTATGCTACATGCCATTTTTGCGATGAATATGTTTACAAATCGGTTGACAATAAAAGAGTATTTGAATTTTGGTGTCTAAAGAATGTTGTGTCTTAATATGCTTAATATGTTCAGTCAATTAATCCATGTTATTAATGACAAAGTTATGGCTAATAAAGACAGCAAAACAAAGAGGAAATTTCAATTATTTGACCTTCATGAGTGAATGCCAATGTTTCTCTGGTTTACTTCAAGGTCTTTCGTAGAATATTGTTTTATTAAGTTTACAAGTTTTATTCATATCAAACCAGAAGGTCAACGACCCATGTGGCAAAATGCACAGTACAAATTACAAATATGGCAGTTTACATACTAGCATATAAGACCTGCATAAATAATATTAACGAACATATTTCCGTTTCAGTGTACGTAACAATAAACAAAACTTATTTAGCAAAAGGTATTGAGTTTTGCATATATAATAGTTTACATAATTACAAACATATAGCAATGAAACTGGTGACAGATATGAATATAAACTGTTTAAAATACATAGATAACTAAGTGATTGAAGCAGTTTCCCGAAAATATAGTATATTACGATTTTAGTATTACTGGAAACAATGATTCGCTGATGAGTAAGATAATATATCATCTGAGAAGACCATATTTGTCAGCCTTGTCCGAAAAACGAAAGCGACAAGATTGACATGTGGTAAAACAAATAGTTGCTTAACAATATCGTTTATTCACTAAAATAAAAGATATATTTATTAATATCATTTTACAATTACTTTAGTTGTACAGTTGACAAAGTTAACTGCACCTTAATTACCTAAATAACGTTGAATGAAAATAGTGTTGTTTCTAACATTAAAAGCTTTTTCAATATAACATGCAAGACGTTTTACAATAGTATCATTATCAGAGTTCATAAGAGCAATAAATTTTATCATATTTGGGTGTCTCCAATAATATGGCGATATAAACTGCTTTCTTAGGTTAATATATATCTATTACATTGTAAAACAAAGTGAAACTCGTCCTCTAAAACATTAAATTCAGAACATTTGCGATCATCATAAGGAATAGCACTTGGCTGGTGCCTTCTACCTGTTTCAACATATAATCTGTGTGATGACATACGTAATCGTGACAAAGATATACGAAACTTTTTAAAATTTAAAATATTTAAGTAAGGTTGAAAGCAAACATTGCTAAAAAGGATTGCTCTAGTGGAATTGTTTAGTCTATCATTCCATTTTTGAACAAACTGGTCTTTTATTCTTTGTTTGACATTTAACAAAAACAGATCAACATCACCAACTGTTTGAAATATCCATGCGTCTATGAAACCCAATTAACAAAGTAAGTTTTTAACTAACGAACACCAATTTCTCCTATTAGGATTATAAAGAACATCATTACATAACATAATATTTACTTTTTTAACATATTTGTGATCTGACATATACAAAATATTTATCCAATATTTGATAATGTTATAAAATATTATGTTTTGTAACGACATGCGACCTAATTCTCCATAAACAAAATCATTTTGAGTGGATTTTTTTACACCCAATAAACGTTTACAAAACTGTGTGTGAACGCTCTCAATGGTAGCACCGGGGTGAAATCCCCAGACCTCAGAACAATAATTAAAATGTTTTAACACAATCCTTTCAAAAATAACAAATAATAGCCGCAAATAGCAAATATCAGCAAAAATCTAGCAAAATTTAGACATTTGACCTTGAAGGTCAAGGTCATTTATGAATAAAGGTCAAGTTTTGTCTTGTCTTTTTGGAGGTCTTGTCCTAAGGGTTGTTGTGGCAAAGTATGAAGACAATGCACAATGGACTTAAAAGATTTTTATCTTCGTTACAGTTTGGAGGACAATACCTCTATTTTCTCTTCGAAAAAAGTCGATCTGAAAACAAAATTAGACATGTTAAATTGAATTCATCAATATTTTCAGTGGTTGTAGAATGAAGACGAACGTTTATTTTTGTGCTAATTTATTAAATTGTAATTTTATTCTTGGTAAATATTCAAATGTACTTCTTGGTAAATATTCAAGTGAATCTGATCATAAAAATAACATGAAATACAGCTTATCCTTTTGTATAACATATCTTTCAGTTAACAGAATAAGAAAATGCAGAGTTAGAATCTGGTATATCCCCCACCTTCATGTAAAACAGAAATGTACCTGGACCTCAATGACAAAACATGGTTTCGAAAGAAATATTGAGGAATGTTATTCCATTCCCTCCCCTATTTCAGCTCTTAGGGCATGTTGTGTTTGCAGAAGGGTCCATTATCTTCACCAAAACGTTGCAGCTCCACCGATACATTCTCAATTACATGTATATTAATGTTCAGGTCTAAGAGTCATATTGTTTTGAAAATGTTTATTTGTAATGTAGACGACTACTTCAATCTTATTAAAACCAGCTCTGAACTTTAGTCAGACTGACAACTACTTATGTATGGAATTGGAAAAGTTAAACTTTGAACAGAATTTAATTTGTTTTAAAATTGTTTGTTCAAGAAATTCCATTTAATATTATCACCTTAATGCAGTAACGGAAAAAATCCTATTGAATATAAAAGGAAGGCACAAAGATGACGATATGATCATTCATGTATTTGAAGGAAACTTAGAATGTAGGCATATATTGAAATAAAATTCTAAAATTGAAAACTTTAACAATTGGAAATGTATCTCGTTTTAGAGCTGAAGTTTCACTGGAAAATAACAAAATAGTGCAATTACCTTTTTTACGGGACACTCAAACCTGAATAAACCCTAAGTCAATAGAGAAGTCAAATATTTACAATCATAAACAATATACCAACAAAAGAAAGAAGATAAAGTGTAGTTGTAAGTAGCTTTAATAATTTGACATCAAGGTTTTATTTGCAACCATGACCTAATTAGTGTTGTAAATGGGCTTAAAATAACCAAATAAACAACGAAACTTAAACATTCATTTTGTTCTTCCTTGTCTTGATTTGAGTTAATATGTGTCTTCATTTTTGTGTTTCATGTTCCTTCGATTTTGTCACATGTAGCTTGTCAATGCTGTAACTTCTTCCGAATCTCCAAATTTGTCTGATTTCCTTTCAACAATTTTCCCGTCCAATTTCTTGATATTTTGTGATTCTTTACCTTCGTCAACTTCTATTGTAATTATATCTTGATTGCCTCTAGCCCATGGTTGTAGGTATACGTCAGAGCAGGTTAAGAAAGCAATGGCACCTATGATATTAATCCCAGCTGCTAAATAGAACACGTTTTGCCATTCTTCTTGTGAACCCTGAAATATAAATTGTACATGAAATATCGTTGGAAATGTTTTTGTATTTTAACATGGTAATAATGATCATATTCATAATTATGAGAAACACCAAAACACCAAATATTATTAAACATATTGATACATTTCTGTAGAAAACAATTTTCGTTTCTTAAAACATGCGTGATAAAACAAATCATACTGAAATTCTTATATAGCTGAATTATTACAAGAAAAAATAACACAGATGCAAATTCATAGTAAAGAACGAAAACACCAGCTTTCACTGAGTTTTCAACTACACATTGACAAGAGCAGTACTTAAATATTGCTTATCAGTAAGAACGGTGTGGGTATTCCCATTTGTTTTAATATCATTAAACAAATTCTCCGTGTATAAATGTATTGTAAAGCATTCATTTTTATTGGAAACCAAAGGTTACAGATATTTCAGTCGTTGATGTTTTTATCCCTATTGTATAGATACGATAATATGATAACATACATTTGGTGTAAGAAAACCAGCTGTCATGGATGCAATTATACCAGCGATAACACCACCAGCGTTTGTAATTCCGAATGCAGTCCCAGCAAACCTAAAAGTCAACAGTACCATTAAGATATTTAGTAACCTTTACTGATGATGGTTCTCCGTTCATTAAAGGCACATTATGCCTCAGAAATTCTTTAGAAATGTCAAATATATGAATAATGGATTAAGATTTTTTACAACTGAAAAAGTAGCGCTGAACACGCAGTTATGTACAGTAGTGTTTTGAATTTCATACACAATACTTATTTACTAAAATTATACCATATGCCAACTGAGCTAAAGATGTTCAAGATAGTTTAAATATAAAGTAAATGAGTATGTTTTGGGGAACTGTAACAAGATACCAAAAATAAACAGTATTTGAGAAATAAAAATGATTGCATTTCTGAGGCATAATGGGCCTTTAACAAGCAAATCGAATCAAAATCTTTGGAACCAAATAGGAGTAACATATTTTATAATAGTATTTATCATAACGGCCCTTGATAAGATCGAACATTGTCTGCAAGGGCAAAGATATGTTTCCGCTGTAGACTGAAAATATATTCAAAGATAAAAGAAACATAGAATTGTTTTAAAAATTCATGTACATATACTAGTACTTATATTTGTAGGATTAAACCTTCGCATTTCTATAGTCCGTTCCAAACTGGCATCGAGAAACGAATACTTTTTCTTGCGTGTGTGTATCTACCCCCCTTCAGGCGGTAGCTGTTTGTTTGTTTTTTTTTCTTTTTTTTTC